CCTCACACACACACAAAACCCCCCAAAAAACCTGACATTGACTCACTTCTGACCCATATCAACCCTACAAGACAGCTTAGAACCACCTCTTCAGATTTGCAAAACTGTAATTCTTCATGGGATTACAAAGCCTCATCTTTCTCCCACAGAGCAGCTGATGGTTTCAAACTGCTAGCCTTGCAGTTCACAGCCCAATGCAGAAGCCACTATGCCACAGGGCTCCTTCCCCTCCTTTTACAAACCCCTTAACCGTGTCTGAGTTCTGTGTGACCACTTCAGTGATTATCTAAGTGGTAGACGGCTGGCTGAAAAGTAGACTGCCATGGGACGAGTGGTTGATATCAAATAGGGTAAAAGAAATTTGGAGGGTGGAGGCAGGTCTGACCTCTGCTTTGCATGTGTGGTTGGATTCTCCTGCTCCCTTGAGTAGGGACAGGAGGTCAGATGTAGCCTCCCTGCCATTTTCACAAAGATCCGTATAACCAGCCTGGCATCCTAGACCTCTGTTCCTACCCTCCCTCCTGCCTCTAAAAAGCAGGCCAATGGAAACTGGTGAAACAGAAACGAAAAGGCATAATGTGGTCGCTGAGAATATCCTGGTGACGAGGCCAATAGAAAATTATTTCACTCTTATCTGAAATCAAATTCCTGAGGATTACTTTGTATAGTTGGAAGCATGGGTTTCACAGCCTCCCAGTTCATACTTGAGACAAAAATGTATACAACCCATCACAATTTATCTGCTAGCCCTTTTTTTTTTCCCCTTCAGAGCTTCATTTCAGTGGCCATGTTCCAAACAGGCGCCAGACCCCTTCTACATGTCATTCTGCAAAGGCCAATTAGGCTTTAAAAAGCCCCGTGGGAAAGGGGAGGCCATGCTTACCTTGGCTTCACATTTCCTGTGGCAGGAATACTTGCAGACTGGAAACGAGAGAGAAAGAATGTGCGTGTTAAGCAGTTCGGGCACCATACGTAGTACATCTCCAGACTCCCGCACCCCTGGAGAAGGGCCTCTTGCAGAACCTACCTATGGCTCTCTGCACACAACCATTGCGTCAACCAGAGTTCAACAAAGTGTGATGCACGCATCATGTCTAAGAACCAACTTACAATTGTTCTACTAGAAACCACTCACACAGGAGGCTTCAGTGGGCATTTCCTGAGAACAAAGTTACAAACAGAGTGGTTTGCGGGTTTTGATGAGCCTGGGTGTATTTAGGGTTGGTAGGGTGGTTGACAGCAGAGGCGTTTCTGAAGGGGCGTGCACAACCAAATGTGATCCCACAGAAAGCAGGCAGCAGATCTGGGCAGTGAAAGACATTTGCAAACGCCCAGAACGCATAGCTTATCCCTGAGAAAAGATAGAGACTTGCAAATGTCCCATAAGAATTGAGGCAGGAGCCTATAAGTTCGTGAGAAAATCATGCATGTGATGTCTGTACCCCTTCTGCTTCTGGAGAACCTAGGAACTGACTGTCAAAATAAAACCATGCCTAAACTCCCACAGGGAGAACCTGCACAGGGTGGCTGTGTGACCCGATCACATCGTCGGTCCGCCTGGATGTGTTCCCAATGCAGACCTTGAGCTGGAACGGATGGAGATTGCATAGGCCTTCTTCCAGCCCAGCCTGCAGCTGTGCCAAGGCAAGAAGGCTCCCGCCCCCGGGCCTGGTGATGGGTCACAGGCCTGAGCCATGTCCCCAGTCCTGGTGACGGGTTACAGGCTCAGGCCTTGTCCCCAGTCCTGGCAGCAGCTCACAGGACCTGCACCATCTCCAGCTTTGTGGGGGAGTTACAGACCCTGTCTGTCCCTGTCCCCAATTCCAGTGACACAGCGTTCAGTCCCTGTCCCTGCCCTCAGTCCTGGCAGTGTGGCATGCAGGCCCTGTCCCTGCCCTGGCAGGTTCAGGCAGAGACACAGGGCTAAGAAACACACAGACAGGAGGAATGACAACACCATATCCCACCATGATCTCCTTGAGCTGCGCTTGGAGGGCAAGCTCCAAGTGGGAGTTTCGAAATTCCCTCATTTCCCAACAGCTGAACTTCTAACCCACGGAGGCAGCTGAGAGATCAGCAAAAAGGACATGACCTTGGGAACCCATGATTTGGTTCTGCCTGGGCTCTGCCGCGCTCTAGCTCTTGCCCCCGGGGAAGGCTGGGGAACCTTGCTGATTCCGTGTCCTCTCACAGGGTCACAGTGAGCTCAATACAAGAAACTGCAAGGATACTATCAAGTACACGTAAATGTGCATTCAGGGTGTGCAGGTCAAGGCTCTGCAGGTCAAGCGCACACGCCTCAAATGTTGGCTCCGTTCTTTGAAGCTCCCTGAACCTCAGAAACCCCTCACTTGCTACATACTTAGATTTTTCTTTCTGTGAAGGATGGGCAGGGATCCTGAGATCTCAAGGGTTTGTGGAGAAAAGGATGTGGATAAAAGACACACAATAAATAAAGATGAAATATACACAGAAACTTGGCGAGAGCCCAGCAGTGTTTTCTTTTAACTTCCCTAAAGATATGTGAGAATTATTTTCTTTGCAAGATCTATTTTTTAAACCATCTTCTGACGTCTCTGAAGCACTGAGGACGTTCGTGAAGATGAACAGTTATCCTATCTCATCCCCTGAGTACACTGCACCACGGTCGAGAATGATTTTCAAATCAGGAGAATATTTACACTGGTGGAAGGAGCTTCAAACCCAGACAGAAGAACAGGCAGAGTCCAGAGGTCCGAAGAAAGAAGTGAGCTGAAGAGACAGACAGTTGAGAAATAACCAGCAGGTGAACCAGTGGAACCTTCTCCTGGCACAACAGGGTGTTCTCTGCACACACACACAGAACCCTAGGAGCTCGACAACTCCAGCAACGGTAGGCTGGGTCATTAGATCTAGGTGGTAAGCAGCCTTGAAAATGGCCTCCACTGAGCCTCACCTCCAGGCAGTCATCCCTGTGCAAGTCTCTTCCACACGGAATCAGAGCTGGTCTGAGTGACAGTGCAGGATATGAGAAGGGATGGTGAGTGCCCTCATACAAATACCCCTGCCAGGTTCTCTTGGACCAGTCACTTTGAGAGAAGCCAACACCGTGTCCTGAGGCTACCAAAGCGCCATTGCATGTGTTGCCTGAGTCTGAAGAGGACTTCACAGTCTGGACTGGGCTGGATGTTCTCTCAATATTCAACTTCTCTTGTTTGCAAAGCTCTTTCCAATACACATATGAGTGTCCATGAATTTGTTTCTCTAGTCTACCTGGACTAACACAATGTCCTTCTCCAGGGATAGATCCCTGCTGACAATATGTCCAAAGTACATGGCACAAGCCTTGCTGTCCATGCCTCTGAAAGACACACTGGCCATACTTTTGTGGCTACATCAATGAGCAGGCAGATACTATCTGTTGAAGAATCAGGAGAAGGTGAGGAATGCCTGTGCCAAGTAGTGATATCATTTTTATGCTTCTCAACATCTATTGCCAAATCATAGGTAAGGTAGATTAAACCCATTAACACTCTTGCCAACCATATATTACAGTGCCATTGCACTGAGCACTTCCTAGCCCTGAGTGCCACCACTGAAAAACATAAAATACTTGCCGGTTGCTGTTCTGAAGACAATGGTCGTAATTCGTCCTTAAATTAATTGGCCATTTATAAGTTGTCTGTTAAGAGTCCTTTCACATACTATTACAGACTGTTGGCCCTTAATATTTGCCATTCTAATGGAAGAACTGGAGATGAGAGCCGGGATCATATGACAAGTTTAGAAGCCTACCCAGCTGGACATTTCTTACAAAGGAAGAATTAGCTATGTGAATTCCATTCATCCACAACACTCCGTTGTGCTCATGTGAAAGTTTATGCAGAGTGAATCCTCAGAGAAACTGGGTTATGAGAAGGAGACAGTGGCATCAGGACTGGAGGGGGCTTGTTAACGGCCCCCAGTATGCAGATGGCACAGCTTTGCTTGCTGAAAGCGCACAGAACTTGAAGCAATTGCTGATGAGGATCATGATTGCAGCCTTCAGCCTGGGGAACAACTCAATATAAAGAAGACTAAAATTCTCACAACTGAACCAACAGGTGACACCATGATAAAGGCAGAAAAACATTGAAGATGTCAAGGATTTTGTCTTGCTTGGATCCACCATCAAAGGTCATAGAAGCTGAGGTCAAGAGGTCAAAAGATGCATTGCACTGGATAAATCTGCTGTCGAGTACTGCAAAGCAAGGATGTTACTTTGAGGACTTGGGTGCACCGACCAAAGCCATCGCCTTGTATGCATGCGGAAGTTAGACACTGAATAAGGAAGACCTCCAAGAAGAATCCGTGCCTTTGAATTGTGGGGTGAAGCACAGTTAACAGGACAAACAAATCTGTCTCAGAACAAGTGCGGCCAGAGTGCTTCCTAGAGGCAGGATGGCTTGACTTTGTCTTATTAAGGTGACCAGATTTTAACATTGGTAAAGCGGGACACCATTGATAAAACTCATATCCCGGTGAAATAGCCACATGGCAGCCGAAATTATACCCTAGCTTGTCGTTCATTCTTTCCAAAAATCAGGACTTTTTTATTTTTTTATTTTTTATTTTTTTTAATCAGGACTTTTTTAAACCGCCGCGGGACACGGGAAAAATTGTTAAAAATCGGGACTGTCCCGCCAAAAGCAGGACATCTGGTCACCTTATGACTTACATACATCTGACAAGGTGTTCGGAGAACCAGTCCTTGGAGAAGAGCATCATGCTGGGTAAACTGGAGAGGCAGCAGAGGAGAGGAAGACCCTGGAAGAAGTAGATGAACACAGTGGCTGCTACAATGGGCTCAGGCATGGGAACAACTGTGAGGATGGCCCAGAGACTGGGCAGTGTTGCATTCTGTTCAACATAAGCTCACTATGGGGCAGAACCAACTCAGTGGCATCTCACAATCCACAACGACAGAAGTCTCCCACCTGAGCCCGAGGGCTCTATGACAGGCAGTCAAAGGCACTCTAGCTGCCCCAGAGCAGTTGATGCTGTCCCAACCGCTTTATACGTGCCCAATAGAGTCAGGAAGAAAGCCACATTTTAAAATTACCATTTCACAGATAGAAAACCAAAGTCCAGAGGGGAGGTAATTTGCCCAGGTGACAGAGCTCGCTTCAAGTACTGCCTGGCTTTCAGTGGAGAGGGGAGCACACCCCCCGGGTTTGATTTCAAAAGCTGATGCGGCAGCAGCCTCAACATCCGTGCAGTGTCTATCACGTTGGCTGACCTGTGGTGGCTTGTGGGTTGCTGCGATGCTGTCAGTATGTCACTGCCATTTCAAGTATCAGGAGGGTCACTCACAATAAACAGGCTTCAGCAGAGTTTCCAAAGAAAGAACAGACTGCGGGAGAAGGAGTCGGCTATAGACTTCAGAGCTATTAGTCACTGAAAGCCTATGGATAGTGTCAAAACTGATTAATAGGTGAATAAAATGTGTTATACACATACAATAGAATATTATTCATGCGTAAAGAGAAACGAAGTTCTGATATGGCTATAACACAGGCAAATCTTTAAAATATCATGTTGAAGGAAAGCAGTCAGTCCCACAAGGACAAACACCGTATGATCTTACTTATATGAATGATCTAGAACAGGGAAGTATGTACAGATCAAAGTTTATTCTTGGTTACTAGAAGCGAGGTGAAAGAAAGACGAGGTTTTCTACTCCCGCAAACAGTTATAGGCTCGAAAACCCACAGGAGTTGTTCTACACTGCTGTACACAAGGTTGTTATCAACCCAATGGCAGTGAGCTTGGCTTTTGATAGGAGTGAGGAGGAACAGGAACATGGGACTCAGTGCTTTGCTTGGGAGATACTGAACTTTCCTTAAGAATTAGAGGATAAATAGGGGATAAAGACGGTAGTTAAAACAATGCGATAAACATAA